TCAATTTAGGCATTTAAAAAACAATAAAACCATTTACATTGATTAACTACTTTGCTTTCATTGTTAACGACAAGACTTAAAAGGCAGCCCTCGTATAATACTAACAAAAAAAAATTGTTAAACATTTTATAAGCTAATGAACTTATTTTGGACAGAAATCTTTTATCTTTTATCAAATCTTTTATCTGCATATAGAAGAGTAATAATATTATTTAAGTTCAAGTAAAGAATATTAATTGCTTATATTTGCTTCAAATTTTATTTTATATTTGACGAAGAAATTAAAAAACCATTCGAATGAAATTTGTCATTTTTATATAGACAATGATGGGGAAAGATAGAATTTTTTGTTCGTTTGTCTTGGTCGACAGCGGGTTGTGATTCATTTAGTATCATCTTTTCAGGCAATTTTGTGTCTTCAACAATATTCCATTTTGCAATGATTTTATTTTCTATCTTTTGTCTTATATTTATAATTAAATCGGAAATCAATGTAAGTGTAAGTAAGTGATCTTCATTGTTTAGCATGTGCAATAGGACGAATGACATCCTCAGGGACCTCAAGATTGATCCCATCAAAAAGTACATAAAGGATAGAGCCCTGAAATTATTTACGAAATCTAATAGACTTACCAACACCGCTTTATCAAATCTCAGAATGGTTACAGACTCCTCGGGGAGGTGTGCAGATCTGAGGTCAATTATTGCTTAGTCTGATGAAGTAATAAACAATAATCCAGTCATGGCGTAAAGAGGGGTTTTAAAAATACCTCGTGTTAAAAAAGAGTAAATGTGCTCAAGTGCACTGGCTCAAATAGCTTCAACAAAATGTTGTACAAAAATATATTCGACATTCCTTTTAGCCACTGCTTAGTATAATATTGTCTTTATTAGTTCTTTAATTTCTATTTATTTTAAATTGAAGAAAATTGGCGAATTTTTGACGTTAGTTTGAGTACACTTATGAAAGTATACCAAAGTGTCAATTTAGATCGGTACATTGGTTTATTTTCTTCAAAACGTTTGGTACATCCATTGAGCAATGTGATGTATTAAGTTGTTAGTATATTTGCGTTGGTAGTTTACATGACGGGTTATCATATTTCATGTCCTTATCTTAATAATAAGAGTGTATTAGAGAAAACAAAATTTCAAGTCTATGTAGAAGCGAATAATATATAAAATACATATAGTAGAGGATTAATGGCCTGCTAATTCCTTTGTCCACCTAATGCTACAACATTCTTTTCAGCTGATAGACTTCTTTCCATTCTAAAGGTGTTACGTTTTCTGTTCAGTTAATGTCGGTTAGAAGCACAAAATAGTAGCAGCGTTAGTACTGCTCTTTGCCGCTGGGAATCAGTATCCAATTAGTTTGATATTTGCTACTTTTCTATATTTAGTTTTTTGTAAAATCTTTTGTCCTCTAGAAGTTTGTTACGATTACCGCAGTTGAATGAATCACAAGCTGTATGAGCTTTATCATGATATTGATATAATTTTACAAATTAATATCCAACAGCTTCGCTGGTTTGGTCATGTCATGAGAATGGATGAAGATGCTCCTGCGAAAAAGGTATTTGAAACGTTAGTGGAGTGATCAGGTTGAAGGAGCATTAAGGTACGAGATTGTAGGTATCCCACATGTAGCAGAGATGCCTGGAGAGCCATGCTGCGTCAGGCCAAAACCCGGTATC